CCATTAGTATTTATATTACCAAATAACAGTTAATAATTCATATTTAAATATATTAAACTAGAAGTATTCACAACCACAGATACTTATGGCATGCCAAACAGTAATTCGTATTAAAATCTAAAAGCCGTTTGTACACTGTTTTAGACTCTTGTGGATCTTGCATTTCGTTCTATGTTGACCGATATTTTCGGTAAAATCAACTATAGGCACCAGTCCACATATTCAGGCACCTAGGGCTTGAATAGCTGGTTCAATTAAAATAATTTTGGTCACAAAGTGGTGATACTTTAAATGCGTTATTCACGCAGTTTCATTTATGATATAACTATTGTTGCTTGATCTGTATACTGGAAAGTGAAAATCAGATGGAATTTAAATGATGTTATAGGGAAGAAGAGTTTGTAATCCGATTTCGCCTATTTTCAGTAATGCAACTGAACGAAGTACATACCGAAATTGCGTCGTTAAAATGCGTTAGAAATTACTTTAAGATCCTTATATAATGTAGGAACGATGCATATAAGTTATTCCCCATTTTAAATTAAGTTTTCGTGGACAGGTCATAGTATCAAGTTAATGCATAAGCTATAGAATTTAATTCCTAATTGCGACGCAGAGGTACATAACAAATAATTAGCAACTGATTCTTCAAAATTTTCTTTCGGCGGGACAAGGTCTAGACCAACTCTATTTATATTCAGCGCTAACCTATTTATATAATTTTATAATTTTAAAGAAAGTTTGTCCACTCAATTTCATTACAATATCAGACACACACACAGACCGGCATATGGCTTGTTAGTATAACGAAAATATGGGGGCGGGGTAATTCGTAGACCAATTACATATATTTTCAACATTAAACTCCCATATAGTATATCCAATATTATAAGTTTAGTTAATTTTGCTAAAATATTATACATATTGACCAATATAAATGGTATAAAGCCAACCAGAAGTTTGAAAATCTTATAAGTTTGAAATTATTATATTATGTCTATAAGAGTTAAAGATAGTATTGACCCAATTTTAGGAGTATCTACGAGAAATTTTTGTCTATTATATGCGGGCTGTTGAGTAGATTATCTTACAAATCTACTAGATCTAGCAAGATTTCTCCTATTTAGCGCCATTTGTTTGTCAGTAGGGAAATTTATCACATTATCACAGCTGATTTACACACCAAACTGTCAAAGAGAAAGGATAAATTTAACAAACAAATAAACTAAAAATTAAAAAATTTATGGAATATAAAATAAATAAGTGAAAATAGCGGAAAATATTCTTAAAACAAGAGTAATGTGGAGTGAGGCATCCAAAACCGGTCTATTAGAAAAATGCCACTGCTTCGATCGGCTAGTCAAAAACAGCTGTTTTATAAATCTCCAGCGGTAGTGAGAACGGTCTAGATTAAATAATAGATTATATGTATTTTAATCACTTCAAAATTTCGGATGTCAAATTTTTATTCTCTAGTGAATTTGTTTATAGATTTATCGCACTTTTAATAGTTTTTAGCAGAACGGTTATATGGGGATTGGACGGAGTTTATAATTCAAATTACCCATATTCACATTCATTAAACTTATGGTCCGATTCCCCTCATCTGCGACACCAACCCTCCTTGTGTGCTAAGAAACACGTATGCGAAGTTTCGTCTCGTGTGAGTATAATGTTATAAAAGTTTTTTGCAACATCTTAAAGTAATCAACATAAGTATAGACCCTATACTAAAGAGTTACATACATAAATATGTATATGGCAACCTTATGGAGTAACAATGTCAGGGTTATCTGTCTGTAGTATTGCAAATGGGCAAATAGGCATAGCGATGCCTTCATTTGCCGTTATCTTATATTTGGCACAGACTAACCCCATAGAGAGGGACATCTGTGCTTAAACGTTTTTTGAAAAGTGGGTGTGGATTCATATACATATATTTATAATACCTCACAAAAGTTATCTTAACGAAACTTAGTGAAAATATTTTTCTCTGGTATTTCTTGATACATTATTAAAATAGGTGACATAGGATAATAAGATCGCACACCTTCATATATACAAAACAACTGAACTTGCACAATAGACGTGGTACCACCCATTTAGGGTGAAATAGTAGTAGTCTCCCCAAAACACGCAGTCACCTAAATATTTTATTGCATTGAGTGAACCTTTGGTTTCAGGAAATAATGATGTTGATTCGAAAATTAAAAAGAAATTAGTCTATATGTTCCCCTATGCCCCATATCGCCAATATAATAATTTCCGTCTTTCTTTCGTCTAATACTGCATTCAGTTATGACATTCATTATAAACACCGCCTTTAATTTTCGACCTTCCCTTGTTGTGCGCACTGCATGTTGTCGGTACTTGTCGTGTCAATACCACCAGTCCAGTTATATATGATAGTTTGCTGCGCTTTGCAAACAACAAGTGCCAACATCATGTCCAACAATGCATTTAGTAGTTTTGGCGCAAACTGTAGTTTTATTTTGAATATTTATTTTTCCTGCACAAGTTCAGTAGCTTGCATTTCATTTCGAGTTGCATTGCAAAGAAACAATTTTAAGGCACAGTGCGTTTGTACTGTTGTTGCAAATGACAGTTGATTTGAGTAGATATATATGGAACTAGGTATATATAAAAAAAATAAAAAATATTTGTGCAAGTATTCTTGAAGCCACCATATATGTACATTAATATTAGAGTGGGTCAAACAAAACGAAATTTTTTCCGCTTGATGCTCAAACATACGTTCTTTGACACAACTACAAAAATCTCTCCAAGTACGAGCTCTTGGCGCATTATTTATGCTGGCAGGTTCAGTAGGAAATTTTTGCATGTGGTGCAGAAAATATGCCACAACATTTGCGCATTACTTTACATTAACTAGGTTTTCCCCATCAGCAAACAATGTTTTATCAAAACTCGAAATTCACTCTTTTCCATTATAATCGAAAATAGCAGAATTAACGTCACATTCTAACATTCATTCTGATTCTAACATACAGCTTGAATCTGAAAATTTTATTTTTAAAATCTATTTTAGTAATTATAATCGGCAGTTATGATGAGAGATGTCGACAAATTTTAATAAAAATAGAAATTGGGAACACTTCATTCCGACAGGCAATTTTTAAGAATATTTCCGTCATTTATTGTCGATTTTTTACAATAAAAACTAAAACTATTATTATCAATACATTTATAATATTGTATAAAAATTTACTCAAATTATTATTTTAAATATTAAATAAAATATATTTATAAATAGGCACAAAATTGCGAAATAAAGTAATTGTTGCGAATACAAAAGCAAACCCGTTATCTACGGTCTCTAAAGTGTTCATCACTTTTTTGCGTAACGTGCATTCCAACTAACATAGCTCAATACGGATTCATATACGCGCTTCAATAATTTACCGAGTTGGCTAATTGTATTTATTCATTTTAAAATGTAGCAGCTTTTTTGTGAAGTAATTGGCTTAAATTAATTTGTCGTGTGGCAATTGAATAAAAATAAACGTTTACAATGCACACAAGAGTTTAAAAAAGTTGCAACTGTTAGTCTATTGTTTTATAAGCTGAACATAAAAATGGCTTTGACTTTGCTTTTATCAACCACAATACTGCCCAAATTATACTCGCCTCACTTGAAGTTGAGCGATTGGGCAATTTCATTCGCCCACTTCTATGTCACTTGCAAGTTGCAAAGAGCTACCGTAATTCATGACAAATCATGTTGACCAATAAAAAAAAATTAGCTAATAGCGTGTGCCGCGCCCCTGTTCCGCCTAGGTAACCGCAAAATGCTTTGGCAGCTCGGATTTTACCAAACTTTCTTAATTGCAATCGATTTGTTCACACCGCCACCCTTCAGGCTCATCACCGTCAAGAAGAGGGCAAAAAAGAAGCCGGCCAGGCCGGTGCTGCCGACCAGCAGTGTTAGGCCACCAATTAGCAGCGGCACTAATGCTATGAACTTCAGCTTGTATGCCAACAACAATGGAAGCATGAATTTTTTCAATTTCTTTTTCAACTTTTTGCCTCGACCAATGGCCAAGGCAGTGGATGTTAATGATTTGGCTGAGTTTTGTGCGCTTGCAATTGGTGTTGCCTGTGTTGATGCTGTAACCGCAGTTAATCGTGGCTTATCGATAGCGGTGGGAGGGCTTCGCTGACCTTGAACTTCTAGCGACAAATGCGTGTTGTCACCAACAGGAATGACTGTGTCTACAGATGCTGGCTGTGGTAACGTGGCGGATGCTGTGTTTGCGAAGGCCTCGTCGCTGCTCCTCAATGTAACGAGGTCGCCGCTTGCAAAGTCTGCAAATAAGGTTAAAACATGCGAAAAAGTTTTTAATTAATAATACATATACATATACAAGTATGTACATATTTTCAAGGCATAGGGCTGTGAGAAAATATATTCATGAAATAATCCAATGTATAGTAAGCTTTATTAGTTTAGAGGCTGACTAGTTAATCATTTAAATCAATGTAACTTAAATGGTTGCAACTCCATGTTTTTTACTCTGAATTTAATTATTCTCTTAATAACTTTAATTTTATTATAATTTTATTTAAAGTACTTAATTATGATTGATTGTTTGATCTGCTACTACAATAATATAAACTTTTTGTAATTAAAAGTTATTTTCTACGTTTTAGTTCGATTAGCTATAAAAACGAGATTTTGAGTTTTTTCTTTAAACTATTATTTATCTGCTATAAAAATAAACCCGTAAAGGGGATTTTACTTTTTAAGTTGAACAAACTGGACACAGTGTGCTAAATTTCAATAAAATCGGTTCAGTAGCTTAGGAGATAACCCCGGAGAAAACGTGACACATAATTTTTATATTTATATACATACTTATTTACGGGTTGGTTGAAAACTTCTGTTCTCACCAAGAAAAAGCACTACTAGTTCCAAAATGTTTGTTACAACGATCAGCAAAGAAGGTTATTTTGGTATGCAAAAGGAATTTTGTTGATTGATTATCTACAGAAAGGTAAAACAATCAACTCTGAATATTATTGCAGCCTTTTGGATCAGCTGTATGGAAAAATTCGTGAGAAAAGACCGGGTTTGCAGCACAAACAAATCATTTTTCATCAAGACACTGCACCTGCTCACAAAGCTGTTTTAACAATAAAAAAATTTTACGAACTAAAGAACGAATTGAAAGAATTCCTTCCTAAAATCTTTTTTGGCAATTACACTAGAAATAAAGTTTATCATTTCGCTTATGATATAAACCACAGGTACGATGGTGGCTTTGGAGCATTCAGCACGTCCTGGCTGATCGTCATCATCACTTAAGATGTCGAATGTGTTTGGGAGTATGGGAATTTGTTTTTTTTTCATTGAGTTTAGGTGACTCATTGTTTGCACGTTTTCCACTTTTAGTTGAAATAGTTTTCCACTTCTCTCCCGATGCATTGGTTTTACAATACTATTCAGATAGTCACTCACTACAGATAATACATTTGTCAAGCATAGTCAATTAACGGTAGTATGCAATTTAAATTGATTTCAAATATCTCAACACATCAAACATCTTAAAATTATAGATTTTTTATTTCTAAAAATTTTTATGAGAAAAAAAATCAATAGTAGTATCAATCAATATCAATTTTATGTGCACCGTTGTCTCTTTTTATAAGTTATCTCGATAACATTAACCGAGAATATTTCAATTAGTATTATGACATTCGTGATAAAAATTATTGTATTGGTATGCACCTGGCTACAGCACTAATATGATGAATATACAGATGTATGTAGGTAGGTCAGATTCGAAAAATATCTCTAATATTTCTACTTAAGAAGGTGATGAACTCTTAGATTGTAAATATTATTTATTTTAAATATGTTGCTAATTTGAGGCATTTGTCATATGGACTTTAACTGTCTAATTTGACACCTCAATGCCCTGGATATACATATGTATGTCAAACATGTATTCAAAACAAGGTGCATAAAATATTCAATACAAATTTCATGTCCACACAATTTTGACCACAGATCAGCCTTGTGCAGTGAATAATGATGATTTCCCCTACCTGATTCATCATCGCTGATGATGCGTCTGAAAACCTCAAAAAAGTGTCGCACTTTATCGAAGGCTTTTCCCAATGGCACAAGAATCATACTTTCCATGCTTCGAATCTCTGCGTTCTCCTCAATATCGGCGTCACTCCACTCGCCAATGCCATCTTCGTTGCCATCCTCATCACTTTTGCTTTCAATATCCTGCCAAGCAAACAACGCTCGATGCTGTGGTTGTGTAACAATGGTGTCGGCATTGTTTACTTTATTTATTACCGCTTGCTCTTTGTCACCATACTTATTGTATTGCGTTACACTTTTGTTGTGGTAATTGTTGTTACTGGTATAAGTGTTGACATACTCTCGGTTATTGAAGTTAGTGACAATTTTGTCAGTCGTGCCGTTGCTGTGCTCTCGCCGCCTACTCCTTTCGCTAGATAGCATCGAGGAGTGTCGCTGATTACTTATCGCCAATATATATGGCGCAACAAAGCGCATATCCGGTGACGGCGAACGGTAATTTCCGCTGTTGCTGCTGTTGTAAGTGTAATAATTTACCGGATTTTGTTGTTGCTGTGCCGCGTGTGGTGTATCATGGGTGTAGCTGTGTGGCTGCTTATCCCGCGTCATTGCTTTTTGTCGCCTGTGCAGTTTATTGGCGCGTGCGGCGTCTGCCTGAGTGGTAACAACCGCAGAAACCGCAGCGTTGGCGGCGGCATTCAGGATATACCAATTGTTGTGTACTGCCGTGCGTGGCCATTGCACCTGCTGCTGTGCGTTCGTTGTGGTTGTTGCTGCTGATGTAACGTAGGAGCCAGAGGTGTAAGCTGCTGATGCAGATGGCACGGTGGCGATTGACTTAAAGCCATCGTAATTTAAAATCACTTCGGTTTGCAGTGTGAAAATTGGTGCAAACGCGATTAATACAAGCAGCAGCATCTTTCACCGATTTGGAAATATTCACTCTTTAAGATTTTAATTTGCTTTAATTATTTCTTTACCACGGAGGTTTCATTAACCGTCACAGTTTTTTGGCAACTGCTCGCCGACGCAGTTCATCATTCGTTCAAAGTTGATTCACAAATAACCTGAACTGGCAGTGTGCTCGATATTTTATCAGCTTACAGCTGCACACCTCAAAGAATCTTTTATTTTTACTACACTTATAATTACATTGTGTTGTTGTTTGTCCGGCGGTGTTGATTTCTATTCAGTTGCTGATTCAACCACTTGGTCATCACCGTCTGTGTGTTACAACGAGAAATCAAAACATCAATAGAAAAGCAGAAAATTACAGTTCAAAGAAAGGAAATTCAATTTTTACACAAATTTTCTTAAGTAATAATATCAACACTCTGGTCTGTCGAAGAGAAAGGCTCAAAGCTTCAAGCGCACGGTATCGAAATAAATATAACCAACATTCATCCGTACGCAATGCATCGCTGCACATAAAGAAAAAACAATAAATTAAAAAAGAAAAAAGAAGAAATAATAAAAAATCTACACGTGTTAGAGTCTCCATATTATCAAGCGATCAGTTGTCACTGTTTTATTATACTCTCGCAACATGTTGCTACAGAGTATAATAGTTTTGTTCACCTACGGTTATTTGTATCACCTAAAACTAATCGAGTTAGATATAGAGTTATATATAAATGATCAGCATGAAGAGACGAGTTGAAATCCGGTTGACTGTCTGTCCGTCCGTCCGTGCAAACTGTAAATTGAGTAAAAATTGAGATATCTTTATGAAACTTGGTACACATGTTTCTTGGTACCGTAAGACGGCTGATGGTATTGCAGATCACATTAAGGAGGGGGCGATCTGTAGTTTAAAAATGCTTTTAAAAGTGGGCGTGGTCCTAAACCGCTAAAGCTATAATAACAAAATTCACGGAAAGCTAATTTTTTTAGCACCACAATCGACAGTGTAAAATGGGTGAAATCGGCCCCGCCCACTGCCCATATAACGGTACTGATAAAAACTACCATAAGCGTGATAAATCAAGCACTAAAACGCCAGAGACATTAAATTTTATCTCTGGTATGGTATGAGATGACTTTATAGGAGCCGACTTCAAAATTAGACAGTGGACGTGGCACCGCCCACTTTTAGGTGAAAACCCATATCTTGGGATCTGCTTAATCGATTTTAACCAAATTCGGTGCATAACATTCCTCTCATATTTCTATGTTATAGTGCAAAAATGGGAGTACAACCACGCCTATTTCCCCTATATCACCATTTTAAATTCCATCTGATTCTTTCACTTTCCACTATTCAAATCAAGCAAAATATGTAAAGAAATCTCAAACGAGTATACCGTATGACTTTGCGAGAGTATAAAATGTTCGGTTACATCCGAACTTAGCCCTTCCTTACTTGTTTATTTATTGTGCTTTGCCGCGCTCACGCAATCGTTACTACAATTTCATTCAGACACATAGCTATATACTTGTAGGTCACTCCGGCAACATACCATAGATTAGATATTCATTGAGATTGGACACACTTCAGATACTAAGTTTTTGGAATACATGTTTTTATAGATTTATTTTGGAAGCGAATGTAAGATTTGGGGCATTCACAATGCCGGTAGAATTTAAACAAAATATATAGATAATGTTCTTTTATTTTGATGAAACTACAATTTTGTTCAAAACCTTAAACAACTTTATGTCCTTTTTATTTCTTCATATGTTTTGTTACTGTAAGATATTGGAAGATGAGAAAGATCTAATGCATTGCTGCTGTCCAACCAAATAATGTTATATAATTGAGATTGTAATACAGCAATACTCACATAAATTATATAAGAGGACATTACTAAATAACATAAGATGACTAAATAGAAAGATACCACTGCGAATTTAGATAATAAAATATGGACGCAACAATTTCAACCAAAGTTTTATTAATTAAATTATATACATATTATATATTTACGAGTATTATTGTATTTAAAAATTTACAATTTTGATAAAAACCAAAAAAATTAAGCTCAAAAGCAGGATATATTATCTTCTTATACTAGAAGTATTGATTTCAATATTACTTACAGAAGTCTTCGAAGTGATATATTTTTTCTATGTAAAAACTTTATGTTTAAAACTTTCGTATTTTAAGAACCACAAAGGAATATGATTCTCGCATTTTTTTTATCAAAATATATGGTAAATATAAATTTGTTTTAACGTATCAATATTTACACCCTCAACGAGGTATATTAAGTGTGCCACGAAGTTTGTAACATCAAGAAGAAAACATCGAAACCCTATAAATTTAAATGATTTGAGTTGATTTAACTATGTTCGTCCCTAGTCCCTCAGTTTATAAGATATCGATCTGAAATTTTGCACACATCGATTTCTCACCAAGAGGCTGCTCGCTTGTCGGAACCGTCGACATTGGACTGCTATTGCATATAGCTCCCATACCAACAGAGCGATGAAAGTCATGCCCTTGTAAGGAAAACTTTTTATTTGACAAATAATCTTTACAAAATTTACGAAATAGCGCCACAATATCCGAATAACTGTTTCTGATCAAATCACTATAGCATGCAGCTGCCATAGAAACTAAACGATCAAAAACAAGTTCTTGCAACAATGGACAACTTTTTTATTTGGGAAGAGTATTCTAGCTACGATGTAACTGAACTTAACGTTTTTTCTTGTTTAATCTTCAATAGTACAGTAAATCAGAGGGTCACACATTTCACACCCATCAAGCTTAATTGAAATATCAATAGAATATTATATTCGAGTAATAGAGGGGCGCAAAATTAAAACTATGTGATAACACCTTTTAATTATGTTTTCCTTTTTTGCTCTATTTTATTGCTATTTTATAACTTTCTTATTTTGATACTTTAATGTTTAATAGTTTCCATCTTCATCTCTTTATTTCAGCGTCTGACCTTAATAGCCTGCCTCGTGTTTTTATTTTATTACTATTACCTTAAACTTTTACTTGGACACGGTACATTGGCTCTTGTGTCACTTGACCCAAGAATTGATAATGACTTTGTCTGACGTTGGTATTGTTGGGTGAATTACAGGTAAATCGCACTAAGTTTCTATTGCGGTGATGGTCCGTATATGTATGTACGAGTATTATATCAAAATTCCTATATTGGTTATGTTGGTATGGTTTTTGTGGAATGGAAGATAATTGTGGCGATTACTTCAGCGGCGTTTCTTTTCTCATTTTTGTTTTCAAATTCGTTAGGGACGCTGTAACTTGTAACAATAAGTAACTGTAGACACAATGTTGCACAGCAATTAAAAAGTGTTTAATGAAATGCAATATTTCCCTGTTTGTGTATTCAAATAGTATATACAGTAAAAGCAAGAAGAATAAAAATTCTTGTGTTAGATATATGGAGCCTAGTTCAGTAATTTTGAAGTGATCTTATCTATCTATATCGATATCTTTCTTTGTGCTTTTTTACCTATTGTAAGTAAAACAATGCAATGGAATTCAAAGGATGTTACATCGAAAAGATAACATAAATTTTATTCGAATGTAGTTTAGAACATACGATTATTATATTTTTTAGAAGATGGTGTCACCCCTTTTTAAAAATTTCTACACGACAGTGTAGTAGTTTTGGTCTTAACGGTTGTTTATTTATACGAACCATATATAAATATATGGTGGAGTTAAAGATGTTAAGCTAATTAGAACGACGTACAAAATTATTTTAGGTAATCCTCCGTTCGTTGACGCAACAACATGAAGTAAAAAAAGAAAAAACGTTAACTTCGGTCATACCGAAGCTATATGGCAATACCCCCCATATATACAAAATGTTTCTTACAAGAATTGATTTTGATCGATCCATTTTAGTGGCAGCTATGTAAATGTTATAGCGTTACAGCGATCTGAACAATTTCTCTGATTTCTCCTAAGATTGCACACATTACCCTTAAACAATAACCAATGCCGAATTTCGTGAAGATATATCCTCAAATGATAAAGTTTCCCATATAAACCCTTTTATTCGATCGTTCAGTTTGTATAGCAAGTAATGATCCGTTATCGCCGGTTCTGACAAATGAGCATCTTCTTGAGGAGAAAAGACATGATCAGAACGGACTATGTAACGACATTATTCAAAAAAGTGCAATAGCTCAGTCACCAATCAAGTTGCATAAAAACATTCGGTCCATGGCGTCTCAGAGCAAAGGAATATGCATTACATCTTCAAGTTGTTACCCAGCACAACATTACGCATAAGACCATTTTGATTTGCATTTCGCAGATGAAAACTATCGGCCTAAAATGGTTGAAATCGTGTGTAAATCTTTTTCCAAACATTTTTTTTTCTTAATGCATTTTTAAAAATGTTCACCCAGGAAGTTGCAGTTTTTGTGGGTTGAATATTATTAAAGAATATTCTTAAAATTTTAAAATAAACAAAGGGCTAAATAGAACTTGAAATATTATGACGACCGTATCGAAAAAAGTGGTTTCGGGGAAAAGTTTTTAAAGCTTCCTCGTCCGATCAAACCGCTTAATTGCAACGACACTAAAACGACTATATCATTAAAACTAACTTGAATTTTTAAGAATTCTTTTAGAGCAATATTTTTGAATATCTAAACTATCAAAATATGAAAAACTTTTTAAAATTTTTTTTTTAAGTAGTAGACTAAAATAATACCCTCTCAACACATTCACATTTTCCTCATTTTAGACTTTTCGAAAGTCAATTTGGTTTTTTCGCTCTCTATAGAAGTGCAAATACTTTTCTAACAAAAGAAATCAACGGATTCAATCATGTGTGAAAAGTTTGAATTTCACTTGTTGTTTGCTATTATAGTTGCCTTCAACATAGTTTTGCCACCAAAAATCTTACAACACATAATAATTCACTGAACAGTTTTCATAAACACATAAATAACAGTATTAATATTTCCAAATTCAATATATCAATTTTGTTTCCCTCGTCAACATCGTTATTTTGGTTAGATGTATTGTAGATTTAGATTACAACTGCCATGCGACGTCTAGCACCAACTAACTTGAACTTGAATATTTTGTTGCATTTTATATGTGGAAATGCAATTTTCCATGAAAGTAAAAGCGTGGAAAAATTAAAAAAAAAAATTACAAGCTTGTAGGCAGGTAAGCATACAGTTAGTTTTATGGAATAATTTGACATAATTAAGCTGAACAAATGCAAAGGCGCAAGGCTGGACCACAAGATTACTAATGCCAGCATCTATTACCACTTGAATGTTGTTGCAGCTGACAGCTTGTTTAACATGAAGCAAGCAGTGTCGACTATTTATTTACACAAATAATGGCTGCCCAGTGGGCTCGAATGAAACAAGCGGTGTTTTGTTATATATGCAAATTGCGCTGTGCTTTTTCCAGGAACGAGTATAGGGTTATCTCCAAAGAGAGTTGGATAAAGATATGCATAAGTAGAAGAAAAGTTTT